GGGTTGCGGAGAGCCGGGGGCGGGGACACGGGAGGCCGCGCCCACCAGTGAGGCCCGCCCGCAGCCCCCGGACACTGCGCCTGCGCGCTCTTGCGGCTCGCTGTACCCTGCGGCGCACGGGACACCCTGGGACCCTCAGGCTCTACCCAGCGCGCCCCCCACCCCGCCTTCTCTGTTCTCCCAGACTCAGGGTACGCCCCCTCAGGGCCTCAAGGGCGGGGTTCTCGAGATGGGCGTGAAGCTGGCCAGAAAGAGGAGGGAGTTTCCTTAGAGACACACGGCTTTTCCGGAGCATCTATTTAATGCTGGGCCCTTTGCATGTCTCATCTCAGGTAACCCTCTTACCACAACCCAGGAGGTACCAGTATCATCCCCTTCTTACAGATGTGAAAACCGATTCCAACAGGTGAAATATCTTGCCCACACAGCTAGGAAAGGGCTGAACCGGCAATCCAGGGAGAGGTCTGGAGCTGACAGTGACTGGCCGGTTTCCTCCCTGCCCCTGCTGCCAAGGCCCTATGATGTGGAGGAAAGGGTTCAATCTGAGGTCAGGACATGTGGGTTCTAGCTCTGGCCTTGCTACAACTTGCTGATTGGCCTTGAGTCCCTGTCCCCCTCTCTGAACCTCAGTTTCCCCACCTGTAAAACGTAAAACCTCTTCAGACCCTTCCAGCTGACCTTGAAATGTGTCCCTGGCCTGGAAAAGCCACTGTACAGCATGGGCAGGGTGAGGCCTTGCCATCCCCTCCCCCAGACAGATGTTGGGAACACAGCAAGTGCGTCCTGAGCTGTGGTCAAGTCAACACCAGCTGTTTTGGACCCTGCAAGGGCAGGGTCATCAACTGAGTGTCAAACCTCTCGCAGCTTCCTGAAAGAACTACCAGCAGCTGTCCACCACCCTCCGTCCCCAGGGCCAAGGGCTCCTGGAGGGAAGGCACTGTGCCTCCCCTTCTCCCCAGATCTGGCCCTGGGTCAGGTTTGGGTCCAGGGAGCCAGTGGGAACTCCAGAGATGTGTGTTCCAGACATGGTGTAGCTTTTAATAATTAACAGCAGCAAATATTGATTTACGCAGCCACTTCCAGGCCTGAGCACTTCCAGGCACCTATCAAAATGCAGCCAGAGAAACATCCATTCCCACACTGCCCCTGGGGGAGGGGAGACCTACACGCATCAGTGGAGATGTCTGTGTGCAAGGCGGAGTGGAGGGTGTGCACACGTACGTGTATGTGTATGTGACTTGAGCCTGTGGATGTGACTGTGTGTGCATGAACATATTGTGTCTCGGTGCATATGGGAATGCCTGGGTATGTGTATTTGTGTGTTTTTAATTATGAGTCTGTAGATACTTGGGTGTGCACACGTGCAAATCTCTGATGTATGTACAGACGTGTCTGTGTTCTATGTCAGTGACTGTGTCCATGTGCATAGGTATGGGTAGTCTGTGTGAGTACATGTGCAGATTTCTGAATTTTTGAGTGGAGAAACCCCAGGACGGGGAGGGGGAAGGTTCTGAATAGCTCAGTTTCTGTGTACCCATGTGGCTTCCCAGCAGGAAGAGACTGTCCCTTCTGGGTGTTCTGTCCAGCCCTGGGAACTTAATGATACTGATAACAGTTCAGCTTCCTAATTTCTACTTTCTCACGTACTTTCCCAATCACCACATGACTGCAAGCTGGCAAGGTGGATGGAGAAGGAATGATCATCCCCATTTTACAGATAAGGAAATTGAGGCCCAGAGAGGGGCAGGGCTCATGGGCACAGGGAGTTGGTAGCTGGGTCACGTGCCCTTCAGACTGGTTCCGTATATATTATAAATGTACACAGCGTTGGGGGTGGGGGTGGGAGAGGTAGGCGGAGAATGTGTCACAGGCTTGGGTTACCCCAGCCCCACCACTGGCTTACTGGGGAGCCACACAAGTCAGTCTCTCTGGGCCCGTTTCCTCTCCTTTCAAAGGAAGATAACCCGCAGACTATGTCTTGATTCTGGGGTTGGGGTGCGCCATCGGGATGGAGCTGCTTGGAGCCCACCGTCTGGGCTGTGCTGGCACAAATGGAGGTTTCTAGCCAGACTGGGAGGAGGCCAGGAAGCCCAAGGTGAGGCAGCTCAGTGCTGCTCCAAGAAGGCCAGCCCCAGGCTGTGTGAGCAGGCAGGACCCAGGGCAGCAGGCTGCTCTGACCCTCATTTTCCTAAAGACTGAGGCCCAGGGAGGGGAAGCAATGGCCCAAGGGCACACAGCCCTTGGCCAGAACCCAGGCCCACTCCCAGGATGCTTAGGGGGAGAGGGACTGGGAGCCTCACGTATGAACCCAGCTGCTCAGAGTGAGAGGCTGCCACTGATTCTTTCCTTCCTGACAAGCCCCAGGATCCACGTGGCCCAGTCTTGGACTGTTGCCCAGGCACGGAGAGCAGGAGAGGGTCTCAGGAACCCCCTGCTGCTGCCCTCAGGACCCCCACCTGAGTCCCCCTTGGAGGTAGTGATTCTCTACATGACTACCATTCCTTGGCCATCTGCCTTCCCAGCCTAAGAGAGGTGCCTGGCCCTTGTTCCAAGCCAGAGCTGTGGGGGAAGAGCCCGGCAAATCTTGCCTCTACTATTTCCTGGTGGTGGGACCTTGGGAGAAACACTTCACCTCTCTGAGCATTTAGATCCTCATCTCTAGAATGCCTGCCAACTAAGGTTTGATGAAAGGACTAACAGACATGCTTTATAAACTGTAAGGTATACTGCAAAAGTGAGGGCTTATATTACCTTCTTCATTAGAAAGGCTGTAAGACCTCTCTGGCCAGACAGCCTGCGTACCAGCCTTAGCCCCACCACATCCTAGCTGAGTGACTTTGGGCAAATAACCTCTCTGAGCCTCAATTTTCTCATTTGAAAAATGGAACTAATAACAGTAGCTATTGTATAGTACTTATGGTTTGAGGATGAAATGAGATAATCCATGTAAAGCATTAAGTACCCCACCTAGCACATAAGAAATCTCAATAAATGCTAGTGGTTATGACTGGTATTTGACACTCTGCATAAGTTGTTTAGTTATTTATCTTTTAACTGGACTATGGCTTCTTGAGGGCAGGGACTGTGTCAGACTGGTTTTGGCTCCTCAGTACCCCGCACAAAGTTCAGCACAAGGCAGGTGCTGGGCCAACATTTGATTTTGATGATAGGGACAACAATAGCCTCATTTATAGGGCTCTTACCCTGTGCCAGGTGCTTTTTCGGCACTTTTTCATTTAATCCTCACAATAGCCCTGTGAAGTGGGTATAATGACTGACAGATGAGGAAACGAATGGTGATGTTGATAATGAAGACAATAAAGAATAGCTGGTTAGCCACTTGATTCCCAGAGTGGTTTTGCTTAGGCCTAAGACCTCCCCAAAATAGTTCTATAGACCCTAGTTCAACCTCTGAGACTGTACCAGGCTCACCCAGGGGTCAGGAGAGGTATCCCCCTGGGGAGATAAATCCCAAGGAGCATCTACCTGAACATTCCACCTCTGCCCAGTAGTTATTATGAGGCATCTCCCAGCCCTGAGCAGGGGTGGAGGTGGGAGTGGGGGGTATCCCAGATCAAGGGCCGTGGGGAAGTGGCACTTACCTTAGGGTAGAGTGAAGCAGTGTGGGAGGGAGCTAAGTCCACTTGTGGCAGGTCTAGTGCCTGAGGGAAGCGCTGGTTCTGCCCATCACTCCTCCTGGAAGAGAAAAGGAGTCTGAGGTCAGGGAGAGCCCCAAGTCAGTAGATTTGGGAATGTGGGGAAAAAAGTCACTCTCAGAGTTGAGGGAAGTGAGGGATGACAGAACTCATGGAGGAGAGGCTCCTGAGTTCCCTAGGAGGGAGAGGAGGGGCCTCCCGAACAGGGCTGCCAAACAAGGCTCTGTCTCCCCGGAAATCAGAGATATGGATGGGGTCTCTCCCCAGTCTCTCCGTTAGGCCTCCCTAAAGCACACCTCCGGGGCAGTAGTGGTTCAGTGGTAGACTTCTTGCTTTCCATTTGGGAGACCCAGGTTTGATTCTCAGCCAATACATCTCATGTGCAGCCACCACCTGACTGTCAGTGGAGGCTTGTATGTTGCTATAATGCTGAACAGGTTTCGGCAGAGCTTCCAGACTAAGACAGAGAAGAAAGGCCTGGCGATCTACTTCTGAAAATCAGCCAGTGAAATCCCTATGGATCACAACGGTCCTTGTGCATGGGGTCCCCATGAGTCAGGGGTCGACTTGATAGCAGTTAACAACAACAAAAGCATACTCCTACAAATAAAAAAAATAAAAGCACACTCCAGCCAAGAGGACGTCTGCAGCCCATTCTCAAGAGGGGTACACTGAGGCAGGGGGCAGTGAGAACTGCTGTGGAGGGCTGAGCCATGACCTCTGGACTGAGCTGGGTGCCCCAGCCTCCATGGCTCCCTACCTGAGCCTTCAGGGAGATGGCAGTCTTGGGGCAATGAGGTCACTTGGGCTGCTGCTCGTTAGTAACATAATTGACACTCACTGGGCCTACTATGTGCCAGGCCCTCCGCCAAGCCGGTCTTTCCAGGCCTGAGGGCACAGACTCCTCACCATGTTGGTATTCCCACTTTCCAGATGCACGTAGAGGTCACACAGCTGGTCAGAGGCAGAGCCAGCTTCTGAGCAAGACCTGTCTGACTCCAAGCCTGGCCTCTACCCACACCCATGCCCCTGAGGAAAGGAAGCAGGTCTGGTGAGGGTGAAGTCAGCTCCCGCTGCCCTAGAAGACTGCCTAGGAGGCCACCCCTGGGTCAGGGAAAGGAAGTGCCTAGTGGTTCCTGATAGGCAGGGAGCCTGGGGCTGGGGGAACAGGCCCTGCTTCCGCCGCTGCCTAGGGCCAACCTGACGCAGCTGTACCCTAATGTGGCTGCACCCCCACCCCGGTCCCATTGAAAGAGGCTGGTCCTCAGAGGGTGAGTCACTCAGGACTGCCAGATGATCCTCAGCAGCCCATGGGCAGGCTTGAGTCAGGTCGAGCTGGGACTGCCACACCCCAAGAAGGGGTAGGGCTAGAGGGATCCTAGCCCAGGAAGGAGACCTTGAGGAAGCTCTGAACCCCCTCCTGACTCCCCTCAGCCCAGCTATGCCAGTAGGAGAAATGGCCCAGAGAAACCAACCCACAGTCCTGCTGTAGGCACAGATGTGTCCCCACCTCCCAGGGCACTGGCATCTTAAAAGGTGGGCGAGGGGTGGTTTGCACTGGGTGGTGCTAGACCTAGAAGGATGGATATGGTGGTCATGACATCAGTGTGTGGGAGGTATTCCCAAGACACTTAACAGCTGTATGACCTTGAATCAGTGACACAGCCCTTCTCAGCCTCAGTTTCCCAAATAATCCATCACACAGTCTGGTAGCTAGTCAGTATTCACTCAATGAATACCTTGGTTCATTCATTCATTCATGGTAAACTTTGGCTTCCTTAGTAGAGTCTCATTAAATTTTCGTTGAATGAGTGAATGAATGAAGGTTGGCAGTAGGGAGTCATTGAAGGTTTGTGAGTAAGAGAATGGCCTAAATAGGTTCCAGCAGATTGCAAGGTGTACTGACATGGGCAGAGAGAAGGAGACGGGACTAGAAGAAGCCCAAAGGAATGGTCCAGGCAAATTCCAATGAGGTTCCCATGGGGCCTCTTTGTTGAGACCTACTATGAGCTGTGGCAAGCGTATTATATACACGCAGTGGTCAAGAGCTCAGCTGCTAAGCAAAAGTCAGCAGTTCGAATCTACCAGCCACTCCTTGGAAACCCTCTGGGGCAGTTCTACTCTGTCCTACAGGGTTGCTATAAGTTGGAAACCACTCCATGGCAACAGGTTTGGGTTTTTTTTTTTGGTCACTACAGTGCTGGGAAAATCCAGTTGCTGTCAAGTCAATTCCAACTCATGGTGACCCCATGTGTGTCAGAGTAGAACTGTGGTCCATAGGGTTTCCAATGGCTGGTTTTTCAGAAATAGATGCCCAGACCTGTCTTCAGAGGCACTTCCGGGTGGACTCAAACCTCTAATCTTTCAGTTAGCAGGTAAGCATGTTAACCATTTGCACCACCCGGGGACTCCAAGGTTGGTATTATTTATCCCCATTTTTACAGATAGAGAAAATGAGGCTCAGAGAGGTGAAACCACTGCCCCAAGCAAGTGGGTGGCAGAGCTGGAATTTAAAGCCCATGACCTTGACCGAGCAGGGACAGGGTCAGTGGGATGGAGAGCAGTAAATCCTGGGGCTGAAGCCTAGGGGACACTGGTTCCACTTGCCGGTGGGAACTGCTGTTTTGGTGTGGCCCTGGCTGCTGAGTGAGGCTGTTGGATGTGACTAAGCCACTTGGGTAGTGCCCTCCAGTCTGCCCTCCTCATGTCCCCAGGCTCAGACAATAGCCACTGCAGACCAGCCAGGCAGTAGCTCTCTAACAAGCTCCCTTCCCAGAACCTCTCAGCCTCAGTTTCCCCATGTTCAGGTGTCCATCTCATTCAGGCAAGAGCCCTACCAGGATAGAGGGCAGAGGAGCGTTCCTCTGGGACCCTGTCAGAGGGCCCTCAGCTCTCCAGTTCCTGGTTGGCCAGAGCCCCACCCCTCACAGGTAATGCCCAGCGCCTCCCCTTAGGCAACTCCACCTAAAAAGCCACTAATGCGGCCCTAAAGGGCAGGGGAAGAGAGTTACAAACTGGAGGCCCCAGGCCCTGGCTGCCCTGTCCATCCCCGGCCCTGAAGGGCTATGAGGACGGTATAACAAAAGGTACGGCTCACCTTGTGCCTTGTGTGATCTTAGTTTATCCTTACAGCTCCTCGATGAGATAGGTGTTCATAAACTGTGCCCATTTTACAGATGAGGAAACTGAGCTCAGAAAGGTGCAGTAGCTTGCCCAAGGTTATATAATGAGGCAGAGAAGGTATCTGAATCCAGATTTCTCAACTCCAAAGCCCAAGATCTTAACTTCAGAACACGGATGGCCAACCCTGTGGACTCAACCCAACAGATCCTTCCCAACCCCCAACATGTCGGGGAAGTAATAATTATATTAACAAAGCAATAGCAACCAACGCTGATATACAGCTTACTATGTGCAGGCTCTGCTCAAACTACTCTACTTATATTAAGTCATTTAGTCCTCAGTTTTCAGATGAAGGAACTAAAACACAGCGAGATTGAGTGACTTGTCCAAGGTCACACCAGCAGTAAGTGGAAGACTGAGGATTTGAACCCCCAACCATCTGGCTCTAGATGCTGTGCCCCTCACACTATACTACACTGCCTCTTGGTGAATGGTAGGTGCTCAATACTTTGAAGAAATGAATGATCTCAGCCTCTCACCTCCCTCTCCACCTCTCCATCCTCCTCTGACCCCACCTCCTTCTCTTCCATCTCATTCATCCTCACCTCTCACCCACTTCCTCCCCATCTTTCTAGCCCACCTCTCCTCTCCCTTTCTGCCTCTGGCCTCTGCAGACCTCCCTCAACTAGGTCATTTTCCTTCCTCATCATGCAAGTTCTCTGTCCCTCCCCTCTCTCCTGTCCCACTCTAGCTCCTCCTGGTTTCCAAGATTTCATTCACATGGGGTCCCCCAAGTCTCTGCCCCCTCCCCACTTCTCTGAAAACCTTCCTAACACTCTCACCTGGCTCAGCTTAAGATGCTTTGCATTCTCTCTGCACAAAGCAGATGAGAGGCGCTGAAGCGTGCTGGGACATGGGGAACCCTCTCCTCTTTTCCCTTCCCCTGTCATGAGCATAGTCATATCTGCACACCACTTTACAGTTTACACAGGCATTGTCTCCTTCAACCACAGCAGCTTTGTGAGGTTGGACTATTATCAACCTTGTTTTCCAGATGAGAAAACTGAGGCTCGCAGAGATTAGGTGACAAGCCCAAGGTCAACACCAGGGGAAGGGCAGTGCCGAGGCTTGAACTCCAGCCCAGGGTTCTTTCCACTACATACATCACGGCTGCCCTCAACACAGGCTCTTCTGTCAGCTAGCCTCCCACCCCCAGTGGCCTCCTCATCAAAGCCCCTGGCCCCTGCAGCCACTGCCAAGGGTCTTCCCTTGGTCTAGCTCCAACCCTGCCCCATCTGGTCTAGATGCCCAGCCACTGCCTCCTCTCACACATGATAAGGTGGCAGCCAGAGAGGAGGTGACTTGCCCAAGGTCACACAGGAAGCCGGAGCCAACCTGGAGTTCGGGCCAGGCACATTCCTGGGTCACCTTCACCCCATACGGGTGCGTGGCTACAAGCCAGCTTGCCCCAGCCCCCTCCCTCTCAGAGTACCCACCTCTCCCAAAGAAAGAGTGAGGCAGAGGTATAGAGGAAGGGCCCAGTGCCCCAGCTCCTGGAGCTGAGTGGGATGGGCCGGAAGCGCTGCTGACAGCTGCCGGCTTTCTTGGCAACTGTCACTGTTCCTCCTCCCCTCCCCTATCTCCTTACTGAGGTAACAATAATAATCGCACAGTCGTGAGTGAAGCTCTTTGTACTTTTCAAAGGCCCTCTTAATCTGCTCACTCCTGGGATTCTCACCGGAACTGGCGTGGGAGATAAGGTAGTTGTTAGGATCCCCAATTCCCAGAAGGGCAAACTGAGGCTCAGAGAGGTTACCCAGCAAGGTGGGCATAGATCAGTGACTAGAACTCAAGCCCTCCACCAGTCCAGGGCTCTATATGCCACATGGGGTGGGGGGCATTTCGGGGGGGCTCCAT